CTGGTAGCCTCGTTACAAAAAACAAGTCGTGTAGTTGATTGTTATAAAAAATAAAACCTTGTTTCATCGACACTCCAAACGCAGAATGTGAAATTCACATCCTCCCTGTGACCCAAGAGCACTCATGGCAATGTGGCCGAGTGGCTAACGTGAAAAGCTCACATGCTGCGCTGTCACGGTTCGACTCCCGCTGAGGGTGTTGATAAGTCCTATGCGAGGTCGAAGCTGCAGTCGACCCTAGCTGAGAAGAATTTATGGGATAGCAAGGCTATGTGACATTCAATAAAAGCGTCACCTCTACTCATATCATTGTGGAAAAATTCTACTACCACTCATTTATCACATTAAACGAAATAGGGGGAATACCTCTCATTTAACTGATTTACTGGCAGTCTCTAAATTTTCCTCATGAACGAAAAATATGCAAAGTTTTCGCTTATTAAGCTTTGTTCAAGACTCCTTTCCATTCGAACTCTTTCAATCAGGATATCTTACGTTATCTTATATTTTCACTATATACAGCAAGCCTTTCTAACATGTCTCGTTAGTGCAATATGTTCCGCTATTTTGATCTTTCCGTATTCATGTTATCCAGTGTCTTTGATATTCTTCGGGTTGTAGGCTAAATTTATTCCTGACTCACTTCTCACATTTCGCACATTTGGTTCGATAAACTCCCGAGCAATACAGCTTATCAACCTTTTCATGTCTCGTGGGTACGACTGATGAAGGTTGTTGTCTTTTCCTTTTACTTCTCCTTTCGATTTTCTTAATAATTCTTACAGAATCTGACTCAAGTTACATGAGGACAAGCATATACACTTTTGGTCGTTCTATTGATTTTTGATTGTATTTTCATAATGTTTATAATGTTATATTTCTTTGTGTGATTTCTCTGAGGTATCTGTTACTAAGAACGATCTAAATATCTGGGAAAGGTAGTCACTCTTCTTCTCCCACCTCAACCACCAATTCTTTAATTAAGTCGGTTCATAAAGTTCAGGAAATTATTCAAAATATCCTCACTATATCACCAAATTGCAAAGTTGTCATCCAGGCATCGCATAAGCACTCTTGGTTTCAACGAAGACTTCTCAAATCCCTTTTACAATTTGTGCATCTAAGCATTTGCCAAAAGATATGAAATTGGAGATCCCATAGCTAGTCCAGATATCTACTCATAAATAGATATGTGGTAGTTACTGTCAGATTTATCAATTGTATTACAGACTCCTTGCTCATCCGCTCTGATTTCAGGATATCCTCCTATTATTCCATGATCTCTAACATGGTGGTAACCACCTTCTCGTCAGAGATATTTGTGTACGTGGATTGCACGCCAAAACCTGCTAACAGTTACTTGCCTGCTAGTCCAATACTTTGTATACTTGGAGAAAATTTAAATGAGTTCTTCACGATTTCCGGTGTCTGCCGTTTACTTCCTTGAGCTTTAAGCATATGAATTTCTCTGGCTTATGCTTCTCTCCATGTCTGTTGTTGTCTCTTGCTTTTAGTGGTTTTCTTTTCTCGCCTATCTTTTGTAGTTCGTAGGCTGTCGATGGTCTGACATCATTTTTATTAAATTGTTCATTTTCCATCTGTCAATTTCTCCGTTGTTATGCATTTCCTTTAGCATATCATTTAGTGTCTCTATAATTTTTAGGGTTGGGTCTTTCCTTATTATTTGATAAATATTTTAATCGCCTAGGATACTTTCCATTTTCTCCATGTACTGTTTCCTGTCCATCACCACCGTCGCTCATCCCCTATCCGTTTGTAGAACTATTTGCTATTTTCATTCAAATTTTAGTGATTTCCCCATCAATCAGTTTATGCTTGATGTGCCAAGATTCTAGAGATCATTTCCATTTGCATCTCACGTTTGGTCTCTTTCGGATATTTCTTCAGGCTATTCGCAACTACCACAATAATATCTTTTACTGCCTTTTCTACGTTTAGCAGAAAGAACTGTAACCCCTTATTCAGGAGAACTATGCTTTCGGAGTCGAGGAGATTTAAAGATAAATACACTACTTTATCCCCATAGTCAGTTAGAGCAGTGGGCACCGTCGATATGTAAAATCATAATTTGTTCGGGTTGAGTGTAGGTCATAACGTCTCAAGTAGCACGAGTAGGGTAGCAGTGACCGAGAGAAATCACTGATCCAGGGAGATAATAGACAGATTATACGGGGCCGAAGGGAGACTTTGATAGGACCTGGATGAAAAGGGTTGCGGAGTCGAATCATCACCTGAAATAGGTTTAATTAAGCAAGTAATAAATCCCGATAATGAAGGCGCGATTCGAGAACACAGGATAAATGAATGCGTCAGGATAGGAAAGATACCACAACCGTTTAGCAGACATTTCAGCAAAGTATCGACATTACTTGTCTCCGTGGTGAGTTGTAGCTTGGTGCTCAGAATGAAAATGCCTTCTGACGATGCCGATTAAGATACTGACTATGATGCCCACGAAACGTTTAAGAATGCACCAAGTTCACAGTCCGACTCTGGAAATTATCAAGCATACTATGGACCCCGAACTAGGTCTGCTTTAAAATTAGAAAAAGTTGCAAAAACAAAGTCAAAAAACTTTTATGCTTAGAAAGGAGGCCGCTACTCCATCTTGGTTTTCTTCCTATCGATTTATTAATCCTCATTACTTCCTATTTCAATTAGACGAGGCAATTTTCACTATTAAAAGATGTTATTTTTACATTGAATATGCTAATGAAGTTAGATCGCTGTGATTATTTTCTTCTCTCTGTAGACCTTGTAGGAGATATCGTAGTTTCAGGATGCTAGTAATCTTAAGATGAGAGACCCAAACTTATTAGGCAACTGCTTTTATGAACACTTTACTAACTTGAGAATGTACGTCAGCTTTAAAAATGAAACCATGATTCTACCGTACACAAACTCTGTCTATTTTACTAAATTTCTTATTTTAAAGCGTTCTCAACTATATTATTTAGTTACTTTTTTTTATTTTTTTTAATCCTCTAGCATATAAGGACTACTCGATCGCAAACGAGGCTTTTTTATCGGAATATGTTCCAATTAGTTGCTGTGACTTAACCAAGTATACATGGTACCATTGCTTGAATGCCTCTTCAACGCAACGCCGACTCGACTGTAATCTAAAGATTTCCTTTGACCAACAGAAGCAGCTTGCAGATATTTATTTTTCCTATGCGTACACGACTGGATGCGCTGACCGCCTACAAAACTTCATCTTCCCTCTCTTAATAATATTGTTTACTACAAATGCCGGCCTTGAAATGATCTGTATGTTTGCGCTAAGCTGCTATCTTAAATTCAGTACAGACCTTGCACTTGATGATACAGATGATATCGGCTCAGACAAAATTGCCGCTGCCCAGGATAATGGAGAAGCTACTAGTCAGAAAAAATTGGATGCGACGCCTAAGAACCGTATAGTTCGATTGAAACAGCCAGTTGTGAATGAAACTACCCCATGGATTGATGAGAATGAAGAAGAAGAAGAAGAAGAGGCAACGAATGAAGCTTAGAACAAAAGAATAAAATAAAGGTGAATGTGTGTAACTAATATATAGTGAAACGTGTTTCCCGACGTAATTCATCCAGTCACTGAAAAACAAAAGTATAAATCAAAACAATTAATTGGCCAACTTGTAAAACACTCTACTAATTTGATTAATATGTAACTATTAATATTTATCTTTCCTAATTGTATGCTTCATAAGCACCAAGCAGCATAAAAGTTCAGGTGCAAAAGTGGGTCGAATGGTTTAAAAAACTAAAGCGTAGAACTCTCACTCATAGCGAAATATCAAATGAAAATATTTTTCGATGACAGAATTGCTGAAAAATTCAAAACAAGCGGAGTTTTATTTTAGAAAAAGATATTTTTCATATCATCAAAATAAAGTCAAAATTTAGATATTGTGCAGGTGAATGAAGTTATTTATTCATTTATTATTCAGACAATCATTTGCTTTCAAAGTATTTGTTTATGTAATCGTTTTGCTGAAATATGCATATTAGCAAAACTATGAATTTTACTTTGGAAAACAATGTTTGGCAGAATTTGAAGAGTTATTTATGGTATGACCCAAGAAAATCGGTCTTAATAATTCCTATACAAATGGTGTTTCATGCATATTTTTCTTTTTTTAAAACTTTGTTATTTGATAATTATCCCATGGCTAGCAATATTTGAAATAAATACGCTGAAAGGAGGCAACGTTTGGCTTTAAAGTTAGGATTTTACAAGGATTTTAACTCTTAAATCCAGTAGGATAATCAAATTCTGTATTTTTATGCAAACCAAAAAGCGAAGATATATTTGTAGTAATTTATTTGCGGACATGAATGTGAGGAAATTCAATGAAAATTTGCCAAAAAATGTATTAGCCTTAGGTTTTCTTGTCTAATAATTATTTTACTTAGACACACACTATTGTTTATGATTGGCCATAAATTCGTATCAAGATAATGTATTGCCTTAAAGCATTGAATGTCATAGTCTCACTCTTGATATCCAGAACCAAAATTAAGCCGCAGCTAAAATAGAAACTTTCGTTTTAGCTAAGGGCGAAATTGTTACCAAAGGAGTTCGCTTGTGAAAAAAATTTTGAGTCACTTATAAATTTGGTTTTCTTACATAATTTTGCAGAAATGTAATAGTTTGGGGCTATTGCTGTCAAGCGTTTCTCTCCTAGTTTGGAAAAAATATAATCGAAAACATAAAACCAAAATCGGATTCGTTCCGGTTGACTAGGTGAGAAAAAAGCATAATAGAGAAGTGATTTTATCGTAAAAGTGCTGGTTCGAACTCGCTTTTGCAGCTTGGTCGGATAAGCAAAAAGACCTTGTGGAACGAACTTTGTT